CAGTGGGGTAAGTAAAATATTCTTAAAACAAGAGTATTTTACTTACCCCACTGGCAGATAATTTTACAAGACTACATATCTTAATTCAATTGGCTTATCTAGTAAAAGTATCTTGATTTCAGAATTTTTAGATATTTTGACTAGAAACAAGACAAAAATACTAAGATAAGCCATTTTTTGCAGTGTGATCGATCCATCACGCTTTTGAGGAACACATATTTGTACTATGGTAGTTTCTTAGCTGGTGCATATAAATCATTAGATCTGATTTATTCCATTTTATAGATTTTAATACTCTCAAATCCAGACAGCTTTGTTTCTGTTAGTCAGGTAATGGTCGGTGCAATGTATTGCGTTGCATTATTTGTTTTGAAACTACAAACTTCTGACTTCTTCCTAAGACATGATATTGGGAGAAATAAGAGTGACAACTGATATTCATATGCATTTTGTATAAGTGGCCTGCATTCAGCCTTAATTGCTTCTGTACCTCAATTAGTTGAGTAGCTGTGTAAGTGACTTTGGATAAAATCATCTGCAAAATTCATGAATGTGAAAATGAGTTAGTTTAGATTAAACAAGAGGTTTGACAACACGCTGTCAACTCGACATACCATTTGAGAGGTGTTCCCTCATATTCAAACCACATCTCCTCCACGTCTTCTGCCTTCATGACTCTGAGAAAATGTTTCTTGACTTTATCAGTGACTAGCGTCAGGTAACTGACCCGTGGGAGGAGCAGCTGACAGATTGAAAGAGAAAAACAGCACAGGTCAGGTGACATGAAACTAACCATTCTTACAGCAGAAAGAAAGTCTGTCATCTCAACTGACATAGTAGGGTTCGGCCTCTCTCTCTGTGGTTTCCTCTGGAGACAGTGTGAAACAGGCCGGTATCCTTCCGAACCAAACATCTCGGAGAACATCCTTGTCTTCCGCCATTATCATCTTTCTCCAGGTGACACATATAATGTCTTCAGTTACTGAGCTGTTTAGAACACAGAACTTCAATATTTCATAACACCCAAGATATCAAGCGGTTCTGGCAGTAACTTTAGTGATTTTAAGTAAGTGTTTGAATATGATAAAATACATTTACAACTGGGGAAACAACTAAAAGTAAGTCTCATGTAAGAATCCTAAACACCCCGACACAGCAACACTGGCTCAACTAGTGACCTGCGTTTGGGGTGGGACTATTTGTTTTGGTGGAACTGTGATTATTTTCGCAATTCAGAAAGTAAACAATTCACATTTCAAATAAACATAGACAATATCAAGAATTAACCTAAGAAACCCAATCAGCAAAATGAAAATGGATAGTCATATGGCCACGAATGTGTGCTTGATAGTTAACCACTTTAATTTTCACTAACTTTTCTACTTTTTTTTTTTTTTTTTACTTCTGATGGAACATTTGAGATGAGAAAATGGTTTTATAAAAGAAATTTTAGGGTTGTCAGAATTGTTCATTTGAGATATTTATTAAAATATGTTAACTTTTTTTTGTTTTTACTGAATTTAATAGTTTCTCCTGTTTTGTTCTGTTTGTAAACACTGATTGAAAACCATGATATAACCAATTGTTTTATTCTATTGACAACCCAAGTTTTTAAACATGCTAAACATTTGTCTCAGAATGAGAGCAACATTTTAAACAACACAGAAAATGATCTGGGACGAGCCATAAACACAAATACCTATAAAAACCTATTTTCGGATCTCATCAAGTGCTCTAAAGAATACAGAAAACACCTTCTAGTCTAAATGACTCCAGAAATAATCATTAACAGAGGAAATTAAATGTAAACATAAGTAAAATATTAGCTCTGCTAACACTGGGGCTAGTATTAGCATTTAACATCGTTTATGGCATACAGAAGAACCATGACAATCTTTTAAATCGACACACTGTAAAACCACCTACTAAAATCAGGTATTAGTGATATTTAGTCGCGTTTCTGAGGCTGTAAACTATGATAATGTTTGTGTAAATACAGCTAGCACTGACAGAACATTACACACGGTGAGACACCTTTGGAGCTATTAACGATACCAAAATGATTCGAACTCAAAAACTACTGTATCCACACATTAATAACAGACAGAAACTGAATAATAAATTACATTCATTAGATGTCTACAGGAAGCATTGGAGTTGAGCTCATCTTTAACACCAAGAGATGTCATGCATCCCTAAGTTGGCACGTACCTTCAAATTAAAAGTCTCTACATGTTAAATGCGTTCATTGTTTTTCACAATAAAAGTCGCAGTCGTTCATTCCACAGTTCTGCATACAGTAATTCATTTTTTTTTCTTTTCTTTTTTCAATGGCGCGGTTTAATGATTGATTCACTTCCGATTTGGACGGGGACTACCATCTTACAGAAGGTCGTGTGCTTTTGGTTGCATCAATCTTTTAAGGTTTTAAAGTTATAAAATAGGGATGTCACACATTATTATAACCTCATTTTTACAAAACACAATTACAAAATTTGATAGAATTACAGTTCCGTTCAACTTATAAGTTGAGGGAATATTGGAGGAATTTCAGTTTTCATACATTTGAGTCATAACATTACTAGTAGTATGAAAAAGAGATCCCTTCAGTGCGATAGATGGCGTTAAACGAAAGGGAAAAAAATGTTGCGCATGCGTTGTACTTTCTATCGACACTGCGCATGCGCGTTTTGCACATGGAGGCAGTCGAGTGAGTTGTATTAATTGTTGATGGCATTTTAGGCAAACACATAAGACGTTTGGATTTTGCTTTCATGTAACAAGTAAAATATATGTTATTTTGCATTTATTATTCAGAGTATTATACTGGCTGGCGGTGTTTTGTTGTTAATATCTTACTGTCTCTGCGGGTCTTTGGTTGTGTATGTTTATCTACGGTTCGTTTAAAGTTCTGGTTTAACCAGCTATCATTCTCCACTGGTAGTTGACAGTTAAATGTGTTAAAAGACTTGTTCAGAAGAGTTACAGAGAGATGGAGGCTCCGCCGGTCACTGTGATGCCCGTAACGGGTGGAACCATAAATATGATGGAGTATCTTCTGCAAGGTAAACACCATCAGTTCATAAATTTTGCATTTATTATTCAGAGTATTATACTGGCTGGCGGTGTTTTGTTGTTAATATCTTACTGTCTCTGCGGGTCTTTGGTTGTGTATGTTTATCTACGGTTCGTTTAAAGTTCTGGTTTAACCAGCTATCATTCTCCACTGGTAGTTGACAGTTAAATGTGTTAAAAGACTTGAAGCGTTACAGAGAGATGGAGGCTCCGCCGGTCACTGTGATGCCCGTAACGGGTGGAACCATAAATATGATGGAGTATCTTCTGCAAGGTAAACACCATCAGTTCATAAATATAACCTCATTACTATTATTATATCCCTCATTCATCTAGTTTTTACTAATCTGGTCAATATTTGAAACTTTGTTATATTAGCATGTCTCTTAGTATTCTATTAGTATTTCTCATTTGTAAATCTTTTGGTTAAAATCGTCTGCTAAATAAAGAAATGTAAATGTAATTCATTACAATAATTATATGCACCTAATAAGACTTTTTTTTTAGCCGCTATTGATCTTATTATTCTCCTTACATTTAAGCTCATTATATTGAGATTCTATAATACAAAAATGGTATATGATGTATTTTATGCTTGTGCCATGGTGCAACCATGGTATTCTTTGAAGTACTTTTGAATGCCTTGTAAATACCACGGAGCATAAATAAGGTAATCATTTAGAATTATGTATATGGCATTGTAATGAAAAAATTGAACATGGAAATTATAAAAAATGTTATTCTCCTGGTCTTGAAAAGCTATGTTTATAAAATGTGGAAAAGATGTGGGATTTTCTGTAGTGAGTTTAACTAGTGCTCAGCTCTAAAATATTTCACTGGATAGAAGTTACTGTTTGAGTTTTTAAAATCCTTATCTAATAATTGTAACTGGAAAAGTCATGGAAATGTATTGGTCAGAAGAGGTACAGTAGGATCCCTGCACTATTCTTTTTTCTAAGTGACACCAACAATGTACCATGGTATTAACACAAAACCATTTTGTGAGGTTATTTTTTGCTTTAACTCATGCACATATTTCAGGGATTACTGGTAATCATTCTATTGATTTGAATTTGATAAAGAAACTTTGAATTGATTTGAACAGAAACATGTATGGAAGCCCTGTTTCCATCATGGAAAAAAATATTAAGAAAATAAATAAAGCCTATTGCGACTTTTCATCTCCCAGTTCTGACTTTTTTTCTCACAGATTTGAGTCTCATAATTTTGAGTCTCCTAATTCTGAGAAGAAAAGTCAGAATTGCAAGAAATAAACTTGCAATTGCAATTGCAAAAAAAAAAAAAGTCACAATTACCTTTTTTAATTTGTATTCCGTGGCTGAAAACAAATTGTGAGATATAAACTCAGAACTGTGAAATGTAAACTTGGAATTATGAGGAAAAAGTCAGAATTGTGAGTTTATATCTCGCAATTCTGAGTTTATCTCTCACAGTCAATTTTTCTCAGAATTGCAAGAAACACAGTCAGAATTGTAACAGTTATAGCATATAAACTGCAATTACCTTTTTATTTCTTAATTCCATGACAATAAAAGGCTCCCATAAATGTGTCACTGGTTTTTAAATTTAAGTAAGATTTGTAAAGTTATATCTTCTAACTTTACAGTTTTGTTGATTTTTTTCTGCACAGGCAGTGTACTGGATCAGTCTCTAGAGAGTCTCCTACATCGACTCAGAGGTCTGTGTGATAACATGGAGCCTGAGAGCTTTGCTGATCATGAGCTGGTGTATCTCCTGAAGGGTCAACAGGGCAACCCGTTCATGCTGCGTGCGCGCCGCTCGCTTCTTCACCCCACTGCCCCTTGGCATCTGCGCTATCTAGGTCAGCCGGAGGTGGGCGACAAAAGCCGTCATGCCTTGGTGCGAAACTGTGTGGATGTGGCTGCCTCACACAGCTTACCGGAGTTTCTCAATGAGATGGGTTTCCGCATGGACCATGAGTTTGTGGCCAAGGGTCAAGTGTTCCGGAAGGGTGCAATGAAGGTGGTAGTGAGCAAACTGTTACGTGTCCTGGCGACAGGAAACACGGAGAACACGGAGCCGCTGTCTCTGTCGTATCTTGTTGAGCTGAGCGTACTGGCTCCTGCAGGACAGGACACTGTGTCTGAGGATATGAGAAGCTTCGCAGAACAGCTGAAACCTCTGGTGCACCTGGAGAAAATTGACCCTAAAAGACTTATGTAGTGTGACTTCATTTAAGACTTTTGCTTGTGTTATCATGATGACGGGTATTTTATGCTAATTGATTGATAAACATTCAAAACATGTATTTTTTGTAACTAAATAAGTCTAAAATAACTGAATGATAAAAAAAAAAGACAAATAAACCTCTCATTTGAGTAAATTCCTCCCGTTTTACCACTTGATGATTTCAGTTCTTAAACTATTATTTAAAAATCAATGCTTCATGAGACTTAGACAGAAAGTTAATCTGTGTAAATTCATTCTTGCATGAATTGTTGCTTTTGACTTCAAACAGCTGGTATGACAAACGGTCTGTGTTTAAACAACATCCGTCCAAGCCTACAATTTCCCTAATGATTTCATTTTCAGCATTATTAGCCTACTCCAGTCTTCAGTGTTCTGAAGTACTTATTTGGGGCTGTTTAGTAAAGTTTTGCAATCGCTATGGCACATCCAGTAAGAATGCAAGGACTCTGATGTTTCTTCTTCAACATTCTTCACTGTAGATGCAAGTATATGTGTGGTTTTCTAGCTGCACGCACAAACTGGAAATAAACTTGTGGAGAACACTCATTAGCTCTGCACTAAACTTTCTGATGCAACGCACTTCTTTTTCCTTCTAGTGGAACTACTTTCAGATGACGCTAAAGCTGTACTGATTCGAAGTTCCAGCTGTCAATTAAAAACCCACCAATAGCATTCACTGTCCATTGTTAGTTATCACAGTCCTTTACGACATTCAGTGTCACATGATCCTTCAGAAATCATTCTGATATGCTGATTTGGTGCTCAAGAAACAGTTTTTGCTCCTAAATATTTTTTTAGGAGCAAGAGGTTGTCAGTCTAGTTCCTGAAGTATTCTTATAGAGAATGCAATGGCTGTCATAACAAATAATAAAGGCTGTGCTCCTAATAATTTTCTCAGTCACCCATCAGCACAGTCTTTGAGAAAGTATGTTGTTTTTAAGCATTTTTAGGATAATAACAGTAGTATAACAGCACTGTGTTTAACTTTGTTAAAACTTGAGTTTTTTTTAAGCTAAAGAGTCCTTATCATTGTTTTAAGTATTATGTTGCTATGGCAACAAAGTTGTAACACTGTATATAACTTCACACAGGAAAGGCCATTTTTTTCAACACTAAAATCATGTCAATGTCACGTAGCTATTAGGGGTGTAACGGTACACGTATTCGTACCGTACGGTTCACGGGGCAAATTCCAAATGGAAGTAATCATCCCTATGCCTTTGAAGGGCAGAGCCCATGGAGTGGGGACTTTGGAGTGAGCAGGGCACGTCAAACTCCCTTTAAGGCATTCTATAGTCTTTGGGCACGTGCCTGCCATTATGTAGTCGTTTGGAATACACTTGGCAAAGGGAGCGACGTAATTTCCTCATTAGGGACTTTAAGCAACAGCTGCGAATGGAACAGCTACGCTGACCGGAAGTAAGCAGTTACACAGCCGTAGCCTAGAATGTAAATGTCATTTAAAAAAGCAGGAGAAGGATTACTTTTGGCATTAAATGATAATCTATTGTCAGAAGAAGAGTTTTTACTGTATGATGCTAATAAATCTAAAAACCTAGATTTACTGTGAAAACAATATTTGCCTTTTAATCTTGATGACATGGAGGAAGATGAATGCCTAAATGAATTCTGTATCAGAAAATGCGACCTACCATATCTATCGTTAAAATTAGCTTAAGTTTAAAACATATCAACACAGATTAAATAAAAGAATAATGGTAGAGTCATATACTGATGCAATTACACTGTTATATACCATAAAACGTAACATTTACTTAACTAATCTGTCACGTTGTAACGACTATGGCAAACCAGCTGTTCTCCCGTAGTAGACGGTTACAGTAGAATGTCATGAAGTAGTAGTTAAAGTCGCGCACGCGCAATATGACGTCTGAATGCCGTTGCCGTTCC